GAGTACCTGTCAATCCAAGTAGTCATGGAAAATACAGCTATATTGTGTCGCAGAAAACAAAACCACCTTTGGCTACATTGTAGTTCCCTGTCCAGTCAAATACAGCTTGTGGTGAGTCATGGAACTTGTAGCGTGGCTTGCTCTCTGTGACATGCCATGAAACAGCTGTAAACAATGTGCAAGTCTGGCCAAAATTTGTCCAGATTGGGAAAATGCCAACTGAAGGCAACATTTTTTCCTCGAAACTAGGAAAACGCAAGTTTTCTGAAATTAGCACACTAGGGGATAGTTTACCCCGCAAGAAGTGAACATACATGTACTGCTGCAATTTCAGCTCATAAAATTCAGCAGATGTCTGATTATGCCTCCGGACATCCCGAATCAACTTTTTGGAAAGAAATCACTATCAATTGGGACAGGGCCCAGTATATGACGACAAAGGATATGTTGGGCCCTGTTTACATTACAGAATATTAGCAGCATGTTCTCTCAACGGTCAGCTGTGTGATACATTAACCAATCGCAACAGAGCTTCTAACTTTTCCTTTTGTTTTCCTGACCCTATCCAAATGAAAGCTGAGGTGTGACTGGTCAATAGAATGGAAACAAATTGGACCAATCACAGTGTGGCTCTCATCTGTGGGTGACAGGAAAGCAGAAGGAAAAGATACAGTTTGAGCTCTGCTGCGATTGGTCAAGCAGTCACACAGCTGACAGTTATTGAGAGTACTTGATGCTGATAGTCTGATAGTGTGGATGGGCAAAATGCTCATGAATTTCACCATTTTAATGACAACATAAGGTGAATAAACCTCCCTACATGTATCTAACTTCACCAAGAAGGCATGTATGAAATTTGGTTGCACAAATAGCTGTGATGAAAGAGTACATGTACATGTAAGTTGGCACAATCAAAACAGCCAAAATGTGTTTATGGGAGTTTGTACATGGCTATCTGAAAGGTTTGTCCATGTATTAAGCTTACACTACAGTTCTGGAAGTAGGGGATCCCCAAATTCACAATCCTGCAATCCCCCATAGGCCCTAATAAAAATAAATGGAACACTGTGAAATTTCCATGAATCTAGTTTAGTTTGGACGGTCCCAGCTGTAGTTTGGGCATAACAATGTCTGTACAGTGTATATAAACTCCTTCCGTTAAGTTGTCCCGAGTCAAGTTAGTAAAGAGTTGGAATTGTCCGAGCCCCGGTGTTTTGACGGTGTGTCGACGTGATGATTCACTGCCTACAGTACCGGTCATGCTATTTAGCGTCAACAAGCATCAGCGAGCGTCAAAACACTTTTCATTTCATTTACTATTTTTCAGGTACGACAAAACAAAATACAAGAATATGCTGCTATGTTGAACAGCGCCCTCTCTTGTCTAACTGAAGTGCACCCTCTTGTGATACTATATGGTTCGCTGTTTTCATGATATTTTGCCGTTGCATTCAAGTTTAACGGTTTCTAGAAATGTATCTGTAAATTCTTTTTGTTTGTTATTTAATCTCGAGTCACAAAATTGATATCAAGTTTATCGTTAAAGTCGTGAAGCTACTGCTCAGGATCGATCTCTGATGCATGCTGTGGCGAATCTCGGTTGATTTGTGTATCAGCGATGCCCTCTTTAGACTACTGTTAGTGCAACGTCACAGTGCGCATACGTGCAGTTTTCTTCGGCACCCGATTATGCGGAGTCGCAAAACCAGTATCTAGTCAATACTGTTGACAACTAGTGGCTTTCCCTTTTAATCCTTGCGGAAATAATGGCCACTAGTCACTTTCCAACATAAAAACACCCACTGTTTATCATGTTAACGTTCGTGAATTACAAATGGCTACTGAATGGTGTTCGGTAGGTTTTTTGCACAAAATATTGGGAGCAAGGAAGATGTTCGGTACAGCCGAATGTTCAGTATAGTGGTGTTCGGTAAAGCTGCGTTCCACTGTACATGTACAGTACAACCAGTGGAATATTTAACTACACTGTACACAAGGAAAAAACCTTCACTCCATTCAAGTTCTTGACTATATTTGTTGTCAAGACAATGGGCAAAAAAAGGCGGAGGACCATGCAATCTAATTTTAAAATTGCACAAGGTAACTTATGAGTCGTTCAAATTCATGTTCTTATTTACTCAGGCACTCTGCAAAAACAAAAAAAAGTAGGCCTACTGAGAAAGAAAATCGAAAATACATGTGTGTACAGACCTAGGCCAATGTACATGTACGTATACATGTATGAAGTACGGGGTCCGGACAACTCAACCGTTTGCCAACTCAACTTCGGACGACTCGACCGCTGAGACAACTCGACTGTCCGTGCGTGAAAGGGAGAGACAAGTCGACCGTTGAGACAAGTCATCTATTGAGGCCATACATGTATGCCTTAAGGATGGAATTTCATGTAGTAGATAGACAAGCTTAATTTCTGAGGAATTTATAAAAATGGTGGCTGTAGGAAGTCATTCTTTGCACAGTCAACCGATCTTGCACCCACGCTGCACATACATAGCCCGTATGCATTACAGTTGTAGCTTGAAATCAAAACCTTGGTGTTGTCCTTCAGTTCTGCATTCTCAGACAAGTTTGAGTTTAAAGTGAAATGTAAACTTCTTCTTGAACAAAACTTGCCCTTGGAAAATTTTGGCCAGAATTCTGATTTGCACTTTGACATTTTGGAACAGTAGGGGGGAAAATGGCGAATAGTCTAGGATGATATCACTCACTACGAGTGACCCCAAATCCTTTTTTTCATACCCAACAGTCATATAAACTCTTGCATCTAAAGTCTGTTTAATCAAAATGACTTTCGTTTTTTGAAATGTTTTATTGTGTTTTATTAAAACTGGCCAAAAACTGAACGCATATTGTTTCCTAGTTTTGGATCACGCATTAAGTGCATGCACGCAATATACTTTGCAAACTTATCTCGCTATATGGACGTTGCAGTAATGTACATGTATGTAACCTAATGGGTTTGTCAGCTGTGCGGCACGAAGTAGTATCGTTGATGGCTCGCGCTGTGCAGCTGAAAAAGTTGAGTCAAAATTTACACAAGATCCAATTTTTAAAAATTCATTGGAATTCTTATTTATGAACCCAGTTTTCTAATTGAAGAATGTTTCATTAGAAAATAAGCTTTTTGGAATGGTTCTGGCTGAATATAGATTTGCCGCTTGCGTGGTTACTTTCTGGAAACAGATCCAGAACGAGAACAAGTGTCACCACTTTCATCGATCCCGTACGTCCGAATTAAAAGTTTAAAATTTGAAACTGATTTGGTGGTAACCGTGGTTTTGTTATCACACAAGGTGGACGGTGACCACATTTCACTGGAATTCGAGGATTTTAGTAGAGCTGCAATCTGAATAATTTCGCGATCTTGAACTGGGAAAACGACTGTATTATATGAAGAGATCTCACTGGTTGAGTCGTCTCTCTGTCAAAGTCGAGTTGTCCTAACGGATGACTTGGCAAACGGTCGAGTTGTCTCAATGGTCGAGTTGCCTCAACAGTCGAGTTGTCCGCAGTCGAGTTGGCAAACGGTCGAGTTGTCTGACATCCTGATGTACAACCGAATACAACTTTACACGCATAAGTAGCGTCAACGAAGCGTCAACAACTTGAAAATACCCTCTACAGATTTAAAAGTGGTTTAATTATAGTTTAGAGACTCTAACACTTGCCACTTTATAAGACAAACACTAAATTTGCGTCCAGATTCTCGCAGGAAAACGAAAATTTTTCGCAATGTATGAGGCCGCCATCTTTCTTTCCTCTGGGGTGCACCCTCGTATTTAGGCCAGAAATATGTCCGCCGAGCTTATTAATAAAAGTTATACACTCAAAATATTCTATATTAGAGGGTACTGAGAGCCATGGAACTGAGGAATTGAAGAAATATGAGACTGAACCTCTGGGCCGGACTCAAGGCTTCCACTTCTGAGCAACTTGGATGCAATCGGGTTTAAAAGTGGCACTATTTGAGCCATTTTGCCAAGGGATGGTTTTTCAAAATGGCTACTTTTCTGGACAGGAACATTTTCTGCATTTAGGTGTGGTCTGCTTCTGGTG